AGCAGAGTTGGTTCCTTCTGACAGCCATGAAAATTCTGTTTCCTTGTGCTCTCCTAGCACCTGGTAGTCTTACTCATTTCTTGGCTTTTAGATACCATTAATCCTGCGTCTTCACACTATTTTATCCCTGTGTGTACGTATCACATCATGATGTCATTTTTTTCTTCTTCTCTTCCTCCCCCTCTTCTTCCTCTTCCTTATCAAGTGAGACAAGCCTCCCCATGTACTTAAGGCTGGCTTTAAACTCACAATCCTCCTACTTCAACCTTCCTAATGCTGGGGTTACAGGTATGTGCTACCACACCCAACTAAATTTCCCCTTTCATACCAACACAGATATCTAGGATCAAGGCTTATCATCCTGGCCTTAACTTGATCAACTACAAAGATCCTCCTTCAAAATACGGTCACATTCATAGGAGTTAGAATTTCCACATTTGGAAAGGAATACTCAATTCTATCCTTAACACTTGGTCTGAAAACAATTGCAGAAGTATAGGAAACTGTAGTTTAAAGATAGCTCATATAACAAGAATTAAAAAAGAAACAAGCAAAAGAACCAAAAGCCCTGCTTTAGGTCATAGGTTCAACTTAATAGCTCAATGAAAACAGTTCTTTGAAAAATAAGTATTGTTTTCATTGCATTAACAGATTCAGATCAAAGACGGGTACAGCTACCACATTTTCACTTATCAGAATTCATACAGAGTTTTCTGATTTATTGGGATGAAACAGATCATGCTATAATTAATGATGATGTCAAAGACAAAGATGACATGATAACCCTCTCCAAAGTATCTATCTTTAAATCCCACCCACCCCCAATCTTCTTTTTTTAATGGTATGAATGAATGATGAAGCTCAAATTGTCTTGGAAAAAGACTGGACTTTATAGCACAAGCAGGTAATATTAATATCAGAAGAACATCCTAACACTTAGAAGATGAGAGAAGTTTACTCTTTAACAAGCAAAAAGGGATTGCTGAAAATTCAGTGAATTCCTTTTTGTAAGAAGACATTCAGAAGTTGCACAATGCTTCATTAGGGGTTCTAGTAGTAGAGGAGACTGTACCAGCTAAATGTCTGCAGGCTGCTTTTTGTCGTTTTTTCAAATTTTCAATGCTTTCAGAGAAAGACGTTAACCTTTTTAGAAATTTTAAAAAATTACTATTTTTCAGGATGCTAACCAATAATGATGTGGCTTTAGATTGAAAAGTAGTTTAAAATGACATTATCAGCATAGAGTACATTTGTTTTCATGAGTGACAGGTTAATTGTAATCTTTATTAATAAATTATATTTACTCTTTCCCAACGGATATATGAAGTATTTTGTTCAATTTAGCTTACTTTTCTTAGTAAAGTACTTAAAGGTGAACGCCAGCGACTTGCACCAGGCATCTGAGCTACTTGAGAGGCTGTTATCTGGACGATGTTGGGTTGAAGCCAGCCTTGGAAGATACCGCTGAGAAAATCCATCTCCAACATAATCAGAAAAGCCAGGCTAGAGGTTGGCTCAAGGAGTAGAGTGCTAACCTAGCAAGCAAACGGATGAGCTCAAATGCCCTGGGGGGGGCAGGGGAACCTAACAATATATTCAATTTTCGGACTGAATATAGAATATCAAAATGAGAAGGGGGTGGAGCGCCAAGAGCCATGCGCCATGCGGAGCCTCCTGCTGGTGGCCCTCCCTGGCGCTGGGCAGCAGGGGCAGGAAGATTCAGTGCTGTTCCTGCGTGGAAAGGGCCGAGTGAGGATTCTGACATCTGATATCTGGGATGATACAGCATTGATAAAAAGCGTATGGTAACGCTGTGGCTTCCTTTAAGCACGCTTTAAAGAATGGTGACATTTGTGAAACTCCAGATAAGCCAAAAAGCATCCCATTAAGAAGAATCAAAGCCAAAGGAAGAATAACACAACTCCTTTGAAACGGTGGAAGGTTGGTGACAAATGTTGTGCCATTTGGTCAGAAGATGGATGCATTTACCCAGATACCATTGCTTCAGTTGATTTAAAGAAAGGAACCTGCGTGGTTGTATACACTGGATATGGAAATAGAGAGGAGCAAAGCCTATCTGATTTTCTTTCCCCAACCTCTGAAGAGCAAATAATAGAGAACCGAATGCTCAGGGGAATGAAAATGAAAGTCACATTTCAACATATGAAAGTGAAAGCTCCAGGTTTCCTGGAAATAAGCTGAATAACAGTCAAAAGCTGCTCCATGGAACTCTTTTCTTCCTCTGCCACCCCCACTGCCAGGATCAGGATTGGGACTAGGAAAGCCAGGTCTAAAAATCAATGGCCCCAAAGAAACATAGGTCCTATGGTTTCCCTTATTTGCAATAACTAGTATATGTCTGAGAAAAGCAGAAACGGTCAGATAAGTTGATGTTAGGCAAAATGAACCCCAAGATAAGGATTCAAATGTTTTTTTTTTCTTTCTTGCAATTGTTTCTAACATATTTATAAGATGATTTCTTTGTTGCTTTGTATGTCCCTCCCCCCACAGTATAACCCCTGTTTTCACTGTATTTGATGTTGGTATAATTTGTGGGAAGGGAAGGGAAGGAAATAACAAATGGTTTAAATAGGGATACAGTGGACCCATTGCAACAATGAGATGTACAAGATGTTATGTGGAAAAACAAACTTTACAACTTTGGCAGGGGGAGGGGATGGGAAGGAATGGGAAGGAGAAACAAAGGAGGAGGCAACAATGCTTGATAAGAAGTGTACTTGTTATCTTGCCCATGTAATTGTAACCCCTCTGTACAGTATTTTCACAATTAAAAAAAAAAAAAAGATGTTGATCTGCAACATGGAAATCAAATCAAAGGGAAAAATTCTATCTACTACAAGAAATAGTATTTTCACAATAAAAAAAAATAAAAAAAGAGGAGACTACAGCAGGGGTTTTTAAAAAAATAAATAATAAATAAAATTCAATGGCTCATCACCACCACCTCCCCACCCTACTTCCTGTTATGTGGATCGCTCCATTTCCTTCTGGATCACCAATAATCCCCCCCATACACACACACACACACCTCCCCTGTGTCTAGATTCTCTTAATGACACTGATGCTCTGGGAAAGTATGTAAATCTCATAGTACATGAGTGGCTACCATACTGGCATTACATGGGTTTCAGACAACATCAAAAAGAGGGAGAAGCTCACATTTCAATTAAGGAGAGAATGGTGGTGATATTCCCTGGCAATATGAACAAAAGTCTCCTGGTTATCTTCACCGACAGGAGCCAGAAGTACCGTCATCAGCATCTTCCCCTGTCCCGGAGTGTCTGTGTTAGGACCAGGATTGTTCTTGGGGCAGTCAGTGAGTGACTGAACAAGGAAATGTAAGTGCTTGAAAGACACTCAAAGGTTCCTTTCAGTACATGAGTTGGGCTGTCAAAATTGTGATTCAGCACTTTGCATAATTGTAACTTAGTAAATATGTTAAGCTTTTTGTTAATACCTTTCAAAATAAAAAAAAAATGTGGGAAAAAAGAGATGATTGTACTCAATAACTGCATGATGGATATTTTTCTAATTCCCCATGACAATAGCCTCCATATCATCAAATGTTAACAGGTATTATCCTAGTTTGGGGGGGAAAAAGGAGCTTTTTGCTCTCCATCATCTTGCTTGCTCATAGCTGGAGCTCTACTGCTCAAACCATGCCTCCAATCCAGCTTTTTGCTGGTTTCTTTTGGAGATGGAGTCTCTCAGACTTTTCTGCCTGGGCTGGCTTTGAGACGCTATCTTCCAAACCTTAGCTCCCTGAGTAGCTAGGATTACAGGTGTGTGAACCACTTTTTTCTACTTTGTGTCCATTTTCTATTAGTGAGATTTAGAACACTTGTTTCCTAAAATAACACTATGGGTAAAAATAAGTTTTATTTGCAGTACACAAACACAGTTTAATGTAATTTCACAGAATTTCCAAGTAGTGCATCTATAGATATGATGCTTATTTGAACCTGATTTGCATAACCTTTTCATTTGTTTGTTTAGTTCAGTGAACCTACTTTAACTCTTTAGAGAGAAATCTATTATCTTACCTGGAGTCATCCCTCGGGAGGGAATTCTCTTGAGGTGCTTGGATCTCTACATATGCTTGTAAGAGTATGAAAGAATCGACAGGAGGGGAGTATGCTATTCTCTAGTAGTCAAATGACAAGGAAAAACTTACCTAAATTTGTACCACTAAAACAAAGTTTGTCACTCAACCCTCACTTCTGAAGAGACATGAGGGAAAGATTGGAGTGTGTAGGTAAGCAGGTGGACTTACACCTGCTTCCTTAAGAAACAGAGACCTCGGAAATCACCAGTGGAGAGTCAGGGCTGCACCCCACGGGTACGCCACCACCGCTTCCACTTCCCTCTTCCAATAAACACTGTGTGTGCGCTTCACCAGCTCTCTGCCGTGGGTACATGTGCCCTGTTCAGTTGGGCAACTTAAGAGAAAAGAAAAAAAAAGTGTCTGTAATGTTACATGTGATTTTAGAGATAAGTGAGTCACTCCAACGCGAGAGTCGGCCTGGCTTCCGCACCAGGTCTCCCTCCTCACCCCCACCCCACCCCACCCCGGCCAGGGATTGAAATCCTCCATAGCACAGCCTTCAGAGCCAAGTGACCCTTCTGACCCCAGCCACCAGCAGGCCTCCAAGGGGGACTTTCTCCAAAAGGCCGGGTTTCCGAACCTGGGTGCTGCTGCGAGGGGGTGGGAGGGCATCGAATGCCCGCGCGCCAATGGCCGGTGCTGGGACCCGAGTGGGAGGGGGGAGGAGGATGGGAGGGGGACGGCGGCCGCGCGCACCGGGCCGCGCGCCCGCCCGCCCAGGGAGCTGGCGCGTACCGGGGCCGCGCACTCCGGGCCCTCGCGCGCACAGTGGCCGCGCTCACCCGGCAGGCCGGGGCGGGAGCTCGCGCGGCGAGTGGGGCGGGTCCCGACGCGGTGTCAGCCACTGACGTCGCCGGGGGAGTTCGCGGAGGAGGAGTCGCCGCCCGGGCTCCGGACGGATGAGCCTAGGAAAGGCCGGGGCGCTGCCAGTTCCTCCAGGCCGCCACCTCCCGCACTGCCCAGCCGGGTCTCCAGCCACCAGCAGTGCCGGCGCTGGGCGCGCGAGGCGCGTGGAGCATGGGCGGCCTGGTGACCTAGTGTCCAGCCACCAAGGGGCCGCGCGTCGTCCCACTCCCCACTCTCCTGCTGGGCCGATCTCCGCACACCCGGGGCCCGTGGGCGGCCGGCGCGCCGGTGACCATGCACGGGGAGGCCATCTGCAGCGCCCTGCCCACCATCCCCTACCACAAGCTCGCCGACCTGCGCTACCTGAGCCGCGGGGCCTCGGGCACCGTGTCGTCCGCCCGCCACTCCGACTGGCGCGTCCAAGTGGCTGTGAAGCACCTGCACATCCACACGCCGCTGCTCGACAGGTAGGGCGGGCCCTGGAAGAGCCCCGATCTTCACTGTACCCCGCGTCCCCTCCCAGAACACGCGCGATCGGGAGAGCTGGCCTTGGAGCCCAAATGCCATTTGCCACCCCCCCCCCCCATCCCAAGCCATCTCTCTAGGAAATCGGTCGAGCTTTGGAGGGGGCGCATTTGGGGAAGAGGGAGGCATCTGCACCCCTGGAAATCACCCACCTCTTTCCTGCGCTCTTCTCCCTGCCGGCTTTCCTCTCCTCCCTTCTTTCCTTGGCTACCTATCCTCTCTCCCTACTCTAAACTTCTATCCGCAATCACAGCCCACTCGAATGGTGTTGATTGAAGTTGACGTGTATTTATAATCGTGGGCTTCGGCTTGGGCTTTGCAATCGGATTCTAGGGCTGTAGGTAGCTAGCTCTTAGCCACAGAGCTGAAATGTGGTTGCCGAACTGAAGTCCTCAGTAAGTGTGAAATATGCAATATTGATCGCATACCAAAATGATCATTTAAAAAATTGTCTCTGTGCGTCATGTTTTTATAATTTTATTCGATAGTTGCCCCTTTCGAGTCTGGGATGTTTTGGTCTGAGGTTTTTGCTGGCTTTCTGTTTTGTTTGTGGTTGGTTACGTATTGTGAAAGTTTAAATCTCAAACTCTCTATACTTGACAGTTCAGTTCTCTCAGAGTGAAGACTATCCCTACACAGGAAATGTGCATTCTTTTTTTTTTTTTCTAACAGTAACATTGAATTTACAAAGCTGTTAAATGGCCAAAAATTGTGACTCTTTCTCACATCTTCGAAGAGGTTCCCATATTCAGAAAAAGCTAGCATTAGTTTCTGTTTCCAGAAAAAGAGTTGCCAGATACCGTGGAAGTGTGACTGTATGTATTAGTCACTAAGACGTGTGTATTTTCCTTCCAACAGGGAATTTGGCCAGGCCTTGTATTTGGTTCTTAGTGAATTAACATCCATGATTTCAACATTCTCTTCTCCACTTCCTATAAAAATACATCATGATAAAGGCCTCATTGAACAGAGGCAGCTTCCAGGCAATACCAGACAAATTTCTTGGCTTTGGCCCTGCCAAAAATGATTTGACTTTCTTTCTGAGTGTGACTCTTCTTTCATTTTGGACTAGATCACATGGTAGATTTTGGACACTTTTGGAGATAGTTTCCATTTTTGTATTCCACAATTCCCTTCAAGTGATTTGTATTTTGTGGAGCAAATGGTGGACAAGCATGTTTATGTAGTCAACTTAAAAGGGTAGTGTTCAGTTAGAAAGAATGAATATATTTTATAACCAACTCTACAAATATTATATAGGAATGTAGCACTGAGACTATTTCAACAGAATGATTCTCTCATTTTTTCAGTATTTTAACTTTGTGCCATTTGAGGGCTATGGGATAGAGAGAAATCCCTTCTATACACAATAACAACTTTCATAATATAAAATGCTTTGCTATAGTGGGTAGGAAGTCAATTCTGTCTTCAAAGAAGCCATAAAGCCTGTGAAACATTCTGGCCTTAGCACATGTCATTCTTTTTTCCACTTGTTATTTTTTAACTTAATAGTAATGTTTATGTAGTCTGCACCTATGGCTACCTGCAGTTGACTTACATTATAAAATTTAGGTAATAAATACTGAACATATACTTCATAAGCTCCAGTGTAGATAATACCTGCATTGTTATGTATGATCACCTGGGGAAAATAAATGTGTTACATGTTATTTTAGTGACTGCTGAGTCATTCTCTATTACCTGATTTCTATCCAATGATGGCCTTTCTCAATAGTCTTCCCACCCCTTATGGGTAGATGTCTCTTATTGCCTATCCATGTTCCCTTTAGCTAGCATAACTGCTTTTTTCCCCAACTGAAATTTTAAGTAGGGTAATTTTAGTGATACTTTTATCTTTAAACTCATTTGACTTTATTGTCTTACTCTTCATGAACTCTATGTTCACAAACTGTCTACTTGCTTTTCTGATCAAGTAATTGACTAGAAAGAATAGGTTTTGGTGTACCATAGTTGCAGTTTGGATCTGTGTGGTTATTGGAAAATTGTTCCATTTTCTGACCTCAGCTCAATATTCTTATATATAAAATGGAGAGAATGGGAAAGGGACCAAATTTAGAGGGTTGAGATGAGAATGAGAGTGCATGTGACTAACACATAATAACATCATAGCAAAAGGAAGAATGCCTCCAATAATTGGAATAGGAGGGAACAGTGTCATGTCACTGGGACTTCCACACCATGCTTTCTGTTTAATTCATTCTCATTATCCAGGAGTCTTCATGTTCTTCCTGTGACTTCCTACAAGGATGTTGAACAGTAACTGCCTTGTCGGCCCATGTCTCTTGGGGCAAATGCAGAACTTATCTGAACTTAAGGAACATACTTTTAATTAAACACATCTTACAGACTGATACAATTAGTTTTGTAACAGTTTTGTAGGGGTTAAGAGACAGGAAGAAGCTTTTCATTTTGTCGTCTTGCAACTGTTAAATTTTAAATTATACAACATAAGCTATACTACTTAAAAATAAATGACAACAGATTGTCTTTGTTGTTGTTTGGATATTTGGTTTGTTGGCTGGTTGGTTGGTTGGTAGGTTTGTTGATTGTTTGGATGGTTACTTGGTAGGTTGGTTGGTTGATTGGGTTTTAGCAGGTCTTATAGTCTCATCAGGAATGTCTGTTGTGTCTGTAACAGCCCTTCATCCAGAGTTTGGGTGGTTTAAGAACAACTAATTATCATCACTCACCTAATCGGATTCTCCTGGAAACATTTCTATTTTGTTATTGCTACCAACACCTACTTGTCCAGGATAAACATTGATGACATCTTCAATTCTCTTCCATTTAAAAAAAACCCTCATGATTAGTCTGTCAACACAGCTATTAAGCTAGTGTTCTCTTTTCCATTTCCACTACTACCTTTATAGTTTTAATCTCTCCTTGTTTCACTTCTTAACCAGCTCTAAAATCTGACTTTCTGATCCTTTCTGGTTATTGCTTCCAAGTTCACCAGCCTAAAATTTGCATTTGCTAATACATTTATCCTGTTTAAAATCTTCAGTCACAAACTCAAGCACTTATGGTATGGCTCCTGCCTATAATCCTAACTAGTCAAGAGGATGAGATCTGAGGATGGCAATCTGAAGCTAGCTGGGGCAGGAAAGTCCTTGAGACCCTGACCTCCAATAAACTACTCAGAAAGCTGGAAGTGTCACTGTGGCTCAAGTGGTAGAGCACTAGCCTTGAACAAAAGAAACTCAGGGACAGTGCCCAGGCCCTGGTGCTCCAGGACTGGTGCACATAGACACACAATCTTCCATCACAAATGACTATGAAATAAAATATAACTCTACCTAATTGGCTTCTTTTGGAAGCATCTTTATTTTTGTTATTTCTGCTAACACCTATTGCCCAGTAAAAAAAAATAATGATGGGGGGGCTGGGAAGGTGGTTCAGTGGCAGAGCGCTTGCCTTGCATGCCTGAGGCCCTGGGTTCGATTCCTCAGCACCACATAAGAAAAAAGAAAAAAGCCGGAAGTGGCGCTGTGACTCAAGTGGTAGAGCGCTAGCCTTGAGTTGAAGAGCTGAGGGACAGCGCCCAGGCCCAGAGTTCAGGCCTCACGACCGGGCCCCCTCCTCCCCCCCCCAAAAAAATAATGATGGCTTTGACACTGGGAGGTGATCTACCTTATCTTTTTTTTTCCCCTTTGGCCTTCCCATCTGTTAACATAAACTGACCCACATCCAGTGGTTCAATAATTCACTTTCATTAGCACTTCCTTGAATTCACTTGACACAACTGTTGAACACCTACCATGTTACTATATGCTAAGCATTCTCAATTCTGAAAATATGCATGTAGAAAATCAAAATATGCATGCCTCAACCAAATTATATACCCTTGGTCCAGTGACAAAATACTATCCTTTGATTTATTTTTAAATTTTCTTGTAATGGTGATGTACGCAGGGGTTATAGTTACAGTAAGTCAGTCACTTACAGTAAGTAATTTCCTTTTGAACAGTGTCACTCTCACCCACATTTCTCCCAGTTTTCCTCACTTTCCTTCCCTCTCCCCAACTTGTGTAGTTCAATAACCAATTTATCAGTGAAACTCACTAGACACTATGCTTGAAATAAACTATCCATTCTTTTTTTCTGGGGGAGGGGGGTCAGTCGTGGGGCTTCAACTCTGGGCTTGAGCGTTATCCCTGCGCTCTTCAGCTCAAGGAGAGCGCTCTACCACTTGAGCCACAGTGCCACTTCCGATTTTCTTTTCTTTTCTTTTCTTTTTGGATCCAGTCATGGGGTCTGAACTCTGGGCCTGGGTGCTGTCCCTCAGCTCTTCAGCTCAAGGCTAGCGCTCTACCACTTGAGCCACAGCGCCACTTCCGGCTTTTTTCTCTTTGCATATGTGGTGCTGGGGAATCGAACCGAGGGCCTCATGCATGCAAGGCAAGCGCTCTACCACTGAGCCACCTTCCCCAGCCCCCCACTTCCGGTTTTCTAGTGGTTAATTGTAGATAAGAGTCTCACAGACTTTCCTTCCCCGGCTGGCTTTGAACCGCAATTCTCAGATCTCAGCCTCCTGAGTAGCTAGGATTACAGGCGTGAGCCACAGGTGTCAGCCTATCCATTCTTTTATATATATTTTTAATTGTGAAGATACTGTTCAGAGTGGTTACAGTTACATGAGTAAGGTAATGAGTATATTTCCTATCAAGCATTGGTACCCCCTCCTTTGTTTTTCCCTACCATCCCTCTCTCCCCAACTCCACAGCTCCTCCCTCCTCCCCACAAAGTTCTAAAGTTCATTTTCAACATATTGTCTTGTACATTTCATTGTTACAATGGGTCATCCTGTGTCCTTATTTTAGCTTTTTGTTATTTCCCTTCCCCTCCCCAATTTAGAAAAATGTAAATACAATATGCAAGGCACCAGAATCAAATACAATGAAGACAGGGGTTATACTATGAGGGAAGAACATACAAGAGAAACAAAAAAAAAATCACATAGTACATTATAAGTACATTAACAACAACAACAACAAAGATAAAACCTCTTGTGTCCTTATCTTGGGGTTCATTTTGCTTAGTATCATCTTATATGGTCATATGTACATAGCTTTTGACCTTTTCTGCTTGTCCTAGTAGTTATTCCAAATTTAAAAAACCATGGGACCTATGTGTCTTTGGGCCTGGCTTACTTCACTTAATATAATTTTTCCAAGTCTTTCCATTTCCTAACAAATGGGGCAATGTCATTCTGATGGAGGCATAGAATCAACTTATTCATCAATGAAATAGAAGAAGCAACCCAAAAATTTATACGGAACAATAAAAGACCCTGAATAGCAAACATAATCCGTAGCAGAATGAGCAGTGCTGGAAGAATAACAATACCAAATTACAAACGCTACTACAAAGCCATAGTAATCAAAACAGCTTGGTACTGGCACAAGAACAGACCTGAGGACCAATGGAATAAAACTGAAGACCCAGAAATGCACCCACAGACCTATAGCCACCTAATCTTCGATAAGGGAACTAAAAAGATAGAATGGAAGAAACACAACTCTTCAGTAAATGGTGCTGGCAAAATTGCTAGATCCTTAATATCACCCTGCACCAGAATCAACTCCAAATACCTTGAAGTCAAAGCAGACACCCTGAAAACATTACAGGAAGGAATAGGAGAAACTCTATGGCTCCTTGGAACAGGCTGAAATTTCCTTAATAGAGACCCAGAAACCCAACAAATCAAACTAAAGGTTGGACTAATGGGATTGCATGAAATTGGAGAGCTTCTGCATGGCAAAGGACATTGCTAGCAAGATGAATAGAAAGCCCATGGATTGGGAGAAGAGCTTCACTAGCCATACAACAGACAAGGTCTCATATCTAAAATATACTTAAAGCTCAAAAAATTAAATCCCCCAATAACAAATCCTCAAAGAAACAACCACCCAATTAATAAGTGGGCTAAAGACTTAAAGAGAGATTTCTCTGAAGAGGAAATAAGAATGGCCAATAGACACATGAAGAAATGCTCAACTTTTCTAGCCATAAAAAAATGCAAAGCAAAACAACATTGAGATTCCACCTCACCTCAGTAACAATGGCTATAATCAAGAAATCTAATAACAACAGATGCTGGAGGGGATGTGGCCAGAAGGGAACCCTACTGCATTGTTGGTGGGAGTGTAAACTTGTTCAACCACTTGGGAAAGCAGTATGAAGATTCTTCAAAAAAACTCCACATAGAGCTCCACTGTGACCCAACAATCCCACTTCTGGGAATTAAAAGATCACAAACAAGGCCATACTAAAGTTACTAGCACAACTATGTTTATCACAGCATTAGTTACCATACCTAAGATATGGAAGCAACCCAGATGCCCCTCAGTAGATGAATGGATCAAGAAAATGTGGTATATACAATGGAATTCTATGCCTCTATCAGAAAGACTATCCACTCTTAATATGTATTGAATTCCTACTTCTCTGAACACTGTGGAATTCTTTGTTTATCGTGTGCTTTTATTTCTCTAAACTCTCCATATTGTGCACATTTTTTCATGTCTTTCTTGGTTTTTATTTATATGTATATACTTCTCCTCTATTAATAATCCGTATAATCTGCCTTATACTTTTGTTTATTTTTCTTAAAAATTTCTGGGCAATTTGAAGGAAAATATATCCTTTTCTATTTATAGTCTCCATGCTGCTGAGCACCATTCTTCATTCATACTGAAAGTAAATTTCTTTTTTATTTTTGGGTTTTGTTTTGTTTTGTTTTTTGTTTTTATAAATAAGAAAGTGAGATATAGTGATATACCAGGAATCTGTTGTGAGCATTTACCTATTTTCAGTGTTCTTGTTTCTAAGTTTTAGTGACCTTTATGCAGCCATTAGCATCTACTCACTTAAATCTCAATATTTCAGTGTTTTAAGATTCAGGACATATTGGAAAAATTATGATTTGCAACTATAAAATTTAATATAATATTTTAATTAAATTTATTTGTTCAAACTCAAAATAAACTTAATAATTTCCTTCTAGTACCAATCATTCTAACACTGATAGGCTTTATGAATTTCTTTTTTACACTTTGTTCCTCCTCTCTCCTAAGAAAAGTACAGTAATAATAACCTGTGTACGACACTTTTACCTGTCAATGGTTTGTAGAAGTTATTTTGGTCTCGAAACAGATTTGTAGAATATTTAGGATAAGAATTATTTCTCCTTTAAATATTATGAACCTAAGATCAAAAAAGTTGAAATTTTTTCATGAGATCATATAGATAATTAATCCTATAGGCATGATAACTTTATTTTCCATTCTGAAATAACTCTACTTCTTTTTTTTTCTTAGTGAACGAAATGATATCTTAAGAGAAGCTGAAATTCTACACAAAGCTAGATTTAGTTATATTCTTCCAATTTTAGGAATTTGCAATGAGCCAGAATTTTTGGGAATAGTTACTGAATACATGCCAAATGGATCATTAAATGAACTCTTACACAGGGTAAGTACTGTACAGTTTTCAATGACTATGATTACCATTTGTCTTCACACTATACAGTACTTCAGTTTTATATTAGATCAGATTATTTGGGGTATAGAAAAGAATCTGAGTAAAAATAAAAAAGACAGTTGCAGTAGTAAAGTTCCACTTTTTGAGGTTATATCTATCTATCAAGATAGATAGATAGATAGATAGATAGATAGATAGATAGATAGATAGATAGATAGGTAGAGTCATGCTTTGTAGTCAAAAGGGCCTCAATTGTCCTGCACAGGTTCCTCTCCTAACACTCATACTAAATTCTAGTATCCATTTGCATTTTGTATAAGGTAGGAATGGGAAGAAGATAAGCTTTTCCTCAATCCACTGTTATGCCATATTTATGTTATTGACAAGGATTCAAAGTAAATGTTACTAATACCAGTTCAAAAGTTTTGAATTAAAGTCCAAATAAATTATCTCCAAGTACCAGACACATTAACTTGTCCAATCATAGATAGTAGTATAAGCCATTTACCTTTTGACTCAAGGTTGTGGTTCCGCATTCTTGAAATATGTGTATTTGATACATTATTATTACTTGCTTGAACTTACATTCTTACAATCTCCAGTCTGCATTTTCTCTTCAATAATCAATTAATAGTCTATTTAATGAGGGTTGGTTTAGTTATTGCATTGTATCATCCAATTTCTGGCACTCCTAGATTTCAGTGCATCACAGTGCAACCAAAGGAAAGTAGGTACCACTGTGAGATACTCATGGAGTCACTTCCTCTTTGTTTCAGAACACATCGCATTGTTTTCATGACTTGTGACCATCTGAAACAAAGATGGAGTGAAGTAACTGGTGTCAGTCTGTAAGGTTTGTGTAACCTCTATAGCAATCAAAATATCATCTGTCAATAAAGAACAATTCTCCTTTCTAGAGAAAGGAAGATACATAGTATCTTCCCCCACCTCCTCATAGATATTCTGGCACCCAAATTTGGAGTCCAGTGGAAATTCTGTAGCCATCTCCAGGAGTTATGCTAACTCTTGGAAGGTATCATGAAATATGGAGTGAGTGCCCTTCTGCCCTTGTCTCCTTAGCCATATGCCTCCTTGTACAACTATGCTGTAGAGAAACCTGGTGATTCCTTTTAATTGCATGCTTTTCAGGAGGAAAAAACTTGCCTTTTGTCAAATTAAAGCATCCAGATACTTCAGAGAATGGGATTATGTATGTACCAGAGAAAGTAATGTTATACATTAGTGTTGGGTCTTTCCTTTGGTTTCCTATTTTATATTTTCTAGGAGAGGGTAGCATCCTGTTATATCCACAGAAGAAAAAAATGCAATGTACTGAAAACAATCTTAAAGTATTTTGAACCACTCTTCCGCCACATTGATCACTAAACTTTAAGTATGTCTATTTTCAGAAATAATTATCAAGGCAGTTTTAAACTTACAATAGAAGCAGACTTTTTAACAGTACTCAGGAAAACATCTTCAAGAGTATACTGCCTGATAATGTTGACTAGTCAAATTGTCTTGTTTTTCTGAGTATATACCTTGTACTGGGAAGCGAAATTAACTTTTATATTCAGAATATGTTTAGAAAGCTTATAGAGTTACCATATAATTACTAAGAAATGTGGATTTTTTTATGCAAATGTGACACTAGATTTAAAAGAAAATAAACCTTTGTCTCATTCACAAAAAGAAAACTCTTAAAGGTTAAATTTTCAAAGAAAATATACATAAACTATATTATTAAAAGCATAAGATTAATCCTTACCATTAAATAGCAATAATATAGTCATAATTTTTATTGGTATAAGTTGTTATACAGTTACAATAAAATATGGCTTTATATTAATAGAAAAGTTTAAAATTTTGAATAAATAATTTGGTATGGATCAAAAACAAATTGTATGTAATTTTCTCTGTGTGTGTGTGTGTGTGTGTGTCTGTGTGTCTGTGTGTGTGTTTGTGTGTGCACTTCTGACCACAGTTACTTAAATTAGCCATAGAACCTTGCTGTGGAGGTGACTGTGAGTGTATGTGTCTGGCTCTACATAAATACAAAATAATTGAGTCTTTGTCAGTTGAAGAAAAAAGAGTTAATCCCACATAGTTGCATGGCCAATATAAACTAAAAAGAAATATCAGCATAATAGCTACCATTATTGTTTCTAAAAATTGGAATAAAGTGAGATCCAGAAATGTTAAGCAATGTTAAATACCGTGTCATAAATTGCACATATTTTACCTTAGTTTGTAATCCATCTTTGCATGAAATAGAATTTTCTAAGTGTGAAATTTAAACACTACTTTTCATTTTGTTTCTTTCAATATATTCAAAGAAAACTGAATATCCTGGTGTTCCTTGGCCACTGAGATTTCGCATCCTGCATGAAATTGCACTTGGTGTAAATTACCTACACAATATGAATCCGCCTCTACTTCATCATGACTTGAAGACTCAGAATATCCTGTTAGATAATGAATTTCATGTTAAGGTAATTTTTTAATGGTCATGTGTCCAGATGCCAGTGGCTCACACCTATAATCCTAACTACTCAGGAGGCTGAGATCTGAGGATCCTGGTTCAAAGTCAGCCTAGACAAAAACATCCGTGAGACTCTTTCATAACTTCTTTTTATATGAAATATTTTTATATAATATATATGTTATTGTAGAGGTGATATACAGAAGGGTTACAGTTACCTAAGTCAGGTAATGAGTACATTTCTTTTTGGAGCATGTCACTCCTTCCCTCGCCTTCTCCCAATTTCTCCCCACCATCCCACCCACAGTTGTGTAGTTCATTTTACACATAGTATCTAGTGAGTACTGCTGCTGTATTTGTTCATCCTTTGCCTCACCTCTTCTGTACTCTCCCCTTACTCTCCCAAAGACAAACAAATGAGACCAAAAGAAAGGACTACAAATACAGCAACAAAAAGCTCTTATTCCAATTAAACACCCAAGAAAGCCAGAGGTGGAGCTGTGGTTCAAGTGGTAGAGCACTAGCATTGAGTAAAAGTAGCTCAGCAACAACACCCAGGCCTTTAGTTCAAGCCCTAAAACCAGCACCAAAAAAGAAAAAAGTTATGTGACCTGACACCCATGCCTCAGATCTATAACATAGCTACTCAGGAAGCTGAAATGTAGAAGATCATGATTTAAAGCCAGTCTGAGTAGAAAAGTGCATCTCTAAAATAACCAGCAAAAAGCCGGCTTTTAGTATGACTCAAGAGATAGAGTATAGCCAGCCAAGCAAGCTGAAGTCTTTAAGTTCAGACTTCTGTCCCAATACTAGAGGAAAAAATTATTTATGTCCTTAAGTTTAATTATTTTATATAATAGTTTTAGTTATTTCTTCTACCTAGCCAATTTAGTATCTTTTATTTTATAAGCAGACAGGAAAGAGAGCTGAAGAAACAGGAAGGAGCCAGAGTCAGATCCAGTCCCCAAGGAAACACTCTCAGTGACCACTGTCCCCAAGTAAATACGACCTCCTACCTTTGACCACTTTTACCCAATAATACTGTGCTTTTTTGAATCTGTCATCAAGGAATTCATTCGTTTGGTCATAGTGCTTATGATCTAATTGTCTCTGAAAACACCATCACAGACACCCCCAGAGTTGTTAATTTGTTGGCCACGTAGGCATTTCTTAATTCAATCCATTTGGTAATAAAATTTACCACACCAGTGGCCGTACCATTTTACATTATATCAGTAGTGTATATGATGCTTTATATCATCCTCAAATTAGCTACTTTTTGTATCTTCAAAGTTAGAATTAGATAAATATTAACTAATAGAGAACTGGGATAAGAATTGCACAACGTGGCCCTCGGAACCTCCCTCCAACATGATCAAGATGCCCTGTGCTCATAAACTGCTTTGGTGAACGGCAACTCCTTTGTACAACCACTTAAGGATGATAAAAATTTTCAAAAAGAAAATCTCCCTCCGCTTTAATAGCAACTTTTTTTGTTAACAAATCAACACTTTTAGAAGATGATCAACCTGTTGGCTTGGACTGCTACTGTAATTACCATAATGCAGCCAAGCCTTTGCTGGACTGCTGTCCCAGACCCCAGCAGCGCCGCTTCTAGTATCTCAACCCACTTCTTCCCCTTCCTCAAACTGTGAGCTAGACCACTCTTTAGTTGTGTTTTTTTTCTTTTTTTACCAGTTGAGCTAATTGTTTTTTTCAAATGTTGTGATTATTGACCATCTTCAGTTAGGTAAGAGTTCCCTAAAGACAAAATTTAAGTATGTATGGTTAACTACCATGTGCCTAGAACATACCATACAGAATCATTACACAGTCGTGTGTTGTATAAACAAGTGAATAAATTCCCCAATCTTTTGCATATACTAAGTACTTCTGCTAACTTAATGGTCAAATGTGTTATTGTAAGAGTACATACAAATATTTTAGAATATATAAACTATGATGCTAGCAGAGCTGTCAAAAAAAAAAGGACCAAAATTTTGTCTGGGAAGGTAGCTCCGTGGTAGAGTGCTTGCCTTGCATGAGGCCCTGGGCTCCATTCTTCAGCATCAAATAAGTAGTAAAAGCTGGAAGTGGCGCTGTGGCTCAAGTGGTAGAGTGCTAGCCTTGAGCTGAAGGGCTGAAGGACAGTGCCCAGGCCCAGAGTTCAGGCCCCAGAACCGACCAAAAAGGACCAAAATTAGTCTTTTGTTTAGTAAATGTATGTGGAGCAGCAGTGTCATATGAGAAATGAACTGAGCACTGGTCTGATAATAATTTGCTTTCTCATGAATTCTTTCATGTTCTAATTACTTATATAATATCCTTTTTGTAATCTTCTAAATCTTTTAAAGCAAAGTTTAAGGATAGTATCATATATATATATATATTTATGTAAAACTAGAATGTTTTTCCTTTTTAAAAGTTAGAGTGACATTTACTTTTTCAATTTTTTTCTGACAAACAGTATTCATACACATATATGTGGAGTGTGGTGAGATAACAATACATATAAACATTCATAACATCATATATTATGTGCCATATATTGCTCTGAGTATATTGCTTAGGATGACTCATTTAAAACTTTGTCTCAGTTCATCACAAGTATACCAAGTTTACAGATAAGCAATCTGTCTACAGGGAAATTAAACAACTTCCTCAAGGCCAGACATGTTATTACCTGATATAATTGGAATATAATGAAATATTCTAGTCTCTAGAACCCATGTCCTCAACCACAGCTGTATTATTTTTCAAAATCAACCAAGCTTGGCTTCTCATTTGTTACCAACATGGAACATATTCTGTTGTTTTATTCTTAAGACTTGTTCTTTTATTAATAGTAAGTTTATGAAACATGTTTTCTAAGGGTTTATAATTTTTATGAAATTTGTCTAAATGCTAATAAAAAATCATTTCTTGGACATTTTAGGAGAAATGTTTTGCATTAAACTTGTCAGTCGTGGGGCTTGAACTCTGGGCCTGGGAGCTGTCCCTCAGCTCTTCAGCTCAAGGTTAGCGCTGTACCACTTGAGCCACCATGCCACTTCCGGTTTTCTGGTGGTTAACTGGAGATAAGAGTCTCACGGACTTTCTTGCCCAGGCTGGCTTTGAACCTCGATCCTCAGATCTCAGCCTCCTGAATAGCTAGGATTACAGGCGTGAGCCACCGGCACTCAGCTAAACTTCCAGTTTTTTAATTAAAAATATTTAAATTTACTCCTTCCTCTTACAGATTGCAGATTTTGGATTATCAAAATGGCGCATGATGTCTCTCTCACAATCACGAAGTAGCAAATCTGCACCAGAAGGAGGAACAATTATTTATATGCCACCTGAAAACTACGAGCCCGGACAGAAGTCCAGGGCCAGTGTGAAGCATGATATATATAGGTATTGTATGTTGCTTTTGATCAAAGTAACCTTGTAGAAAGCATATAGCCAATCAGAATTGTAAAGTTGCATATTATTTTTTGTCATAACTATAGTGAAAAATAAATTAGAAGCTGTGTTGGCTATACTTTTACATCCCTTGAGAATTATTAGAATCTTATCTTCTATTAAGTTGTGATATAGAATTTTTTTTAAATCATATATGATTTAGGAGGCAAAGCAACACAGTAGTTACCAATGTTTTTGCTTCCATATTCTCTTTCTGTGCAACCTTTCAGACTATGCTACCTGTTATCTTAGAGAAATAAACTCTTGAACATACTGAAAATGTTTCTATTTTAAAAATCCTTCCGGGCTGGGAAGGTGGCTCAGTGGTAAAGCGCTTGTCTTGCACGCATGAGGCCCTGGATTCGATTCCTCAGCACCACATAAGCAAAAAGAAAAAAGCCGGAAGTGGCGCTGTGGCTCAACTGGTAGAGCGCTAGCCTTGAGCTGAAGAGCTGAGGGACAGCGCCCAGGCCCAGAGTTCAGGCCCCACTACCGGACCCCCAAAAAAAAAATCCTTCCTATTTGTATAAGTGTGAATTCTTTGAATTGGGAATCAATGTATTTGGTGCCACTATGTTTTCATGTCTCAGCGGCAGTTATAATCTTATAGGAATAAGCACAGTGCATTGTTGTTAATATTGGCTACTTGACAATATAAAAGAAAGGTGATCATTTATAATGTGTAGAATTAGGGGGTGGGGCATGCACTTCTTTAATATGCTAATAAATATGAAATAAGACTTTCTACATTATTATGAACATATTTCGTAGTACTTTCAAATAACTTTTTGGTATCTTTTATAAATAATTGACTTGGTAAAAAATGAACATACTCTTCACAATGTGAATGATTTATCTACAGAAAAGTTATATCAGTAATTAAACTATATATCACTTTTTTAAAGATTTTAATTCTTATCACTTCTAATTAAACCCAATGACAGCCAATCCATTTCGATAGACACCTAGGATAAGTTTCTTCTGCATTTACACTGAAAAAATATGAATATGAATAAATGTTCCTTTATATATACTGCTCTCTGATAACTTTCATTTATTTTGAATAACAAAAGGAAACAAAAATACTAATATCTAATTTTGTAAAAACAGACAAAACTGAACCTATCATTCATTTTGTGAATTATGTCTTCATTTTCTATTTCAATATACTCTGTCAGAGAAAATGAGGAACCATTTTTCCTAGATTTGGGTGAATTTCCTCTGTAATCCTCACTGTCCTACAAAGATGTTTCTTGGTACCTATTTAGTTCTGTGTCCCTTTTGAATGCATATTTGGTAGTGGCAAATTTTCTATATCCTATTTAATCATGTGTCCCAAATAAAAATTCAATGCAGCATAGACAGATGATTTACAACTGAAGTATAATTGTAAGTAGAATATTTTTATTATAAAAAAGACAGTACTAAGACACCCCCCCCCTCCAAGAAAATAGAATAGAGCCACATGAGGCAGTCTTTTTATTGTTATTTACTTCATATGAAAAATAGCATTATGAAATTAAAGATTTTAAACAGATGTCAGTGGCTCACACCTCTAATCTTAACTCCTCCGGAAGCTAAAATCCAGATGATCACAATGAGGCCAGCTTGAGCAGAAAAGTCCTTGAAACTCCCATCTACAGAATAACCAGCAAAAAGCAGGGTTGGAGATGTGATTTGAGTGGTAGAGTACTAAACTAACAAATGAGCCAAGTAGTATTGGCAAAAAAGAAAAGAAAGAAGGAAGGAAGGAAAGAGAGAGAGAAAGAAAGTAAGAAAAGAAAGAGGAGAAGAACAGAGAAAAATAGAAGGCATAGCTTGGTGTTCAAATTAGCCTCATGTTTAACTTTAAGCTATTATAGCAATCTCCTTCAAAACAACTATTGTTTTTCTTCTAATGGTATAAGAGCACTCCTCTTCTTGGTTATATATAGTGATACCTTAACAGAACTTTCAAAACTGGCATCTCCAATTTCAACTTTAAAAGTAGTGCTATCTTAGTTTATCACACAAACTTCGTTTATAATAATGCTTTCTCTTTAACAGCTATGCAATGATCACATGGGAGGTGTTATCGAGAAAACAGCCTTTTGAAGGTAAGTAGTTCTGGCTGCCTTATTCTAGGTAATGTCATATTGCTAAGACATCCTTACAACTGTCTAAAGCTCATCTGATTTTAGATCTTCCTCTATTTCATTCTGTATAAAACACAACAATGAGAAACATAATTATTTATCAATTATGAATCTACCATAACCTAAATAGTATATTGGATTAAGGACAAGCCACTAAATCTCATGCAGAAGTCTTCATTTTTGCCAACTGCTACATGGGATTTATTCATTTCAATCTAGCAATAAAACTCTTCACATTACAGTTTTAATGTGTATTCCTTCTATAAAGACTAGAAATTGAAGACTAAATCTTTTTCAATCTTGTTTACGTGCTTTATTTCACATTTGTATAGTTCTCTTACAATATAAGAAACATCCTCAAAAATCTTGGTAGCTTGCAACGTAAACATTTGTTTCTCATGAACATTAGATGTTAGTTGCTAGAGCCCCTCCCCTTCTGCTAGGTCTCACTTAGCTCTCTGAGCTCTGCCTGGCTCTGCTTCTCTGACATCCCATTGACCTGATCAGGTCACAGGACCCAGCCAGAGTTACCAAGTGAAGGATGTGGGCTCCTCTCCAGGGAGTCTCACCCTGGCTGGAAGATAGTGCCTTTTAACAAAAACAAATGCAATAAATTAGTCCTAAAAATGTAAGTTTCTTTTATTTTCATGTGGTTTGAGTACTTAATATGCTGGATCATAATATATCTGCTCTTAATGAAATGTATTTTCTTTGACAGACGTCACCAATCCTTTGCAGATCATGTACAGTGTGTCACAGGGACATCGCCCAGACACAGAGGAAGCAAGCTTACCACATGACATCCCACACCGGGCACTCATGGTCTCTCTAATCAAAAGTGGATGGGCACAGAACCCAGATGAAAGACCCTCTTTCTTAAGTGAGTCTAGAATTATAACCTGCACCTTTTGCACAACAGAAATAGCTAAGATGCTGTGAAGAAAATTCTCCTTGAAAAATTTTGCCAGTTAGTTGGCTTGCTCAAAATTGTAGAAATTCTTTTTGCCCTTGCTATTCATTGCCTGTTGAGAAGACCTGAGAATCCCTGACAGCAAGGGGAGATCATAGCACAGGAGGAAGAGTTGCGCTCACTTATTAAACCCTAGCCTGTGCTTTAAACTTTCCAGAATGAGCACTGGGAACAGAGAAGTACAACAAAGACAATGTGAACTCATCATCTAGTTGAGAAAGCGCAGAAGAAAACAAAATGCAGATTGTGAGAAAATAAACATGGTAACACTAGGAAAGGGAGCGACTAAAGATCATTCGTAGGAGCAAATATTTGAACTCAGATCTGAAGCTTAATAAAGAGTCCATCATTAAAACCTGGCTCAACCAGAGTAAAGGTTCTGAGCCTAGAAGATAGGAAGAATTTACAAAGGGTAAAGAGAAGTCTGCATAGCTGGCTTGTAGTGTGAGCAATGAAGGTGATAATAGGAGATAAGATTAAACAGGTTTTGAGGAAGGGGCTGTTTAAAATCATTACAAATTAGTTTTCTTTCAAATTCAACAGAAAGCCATTGAAGTTTTTTTTTAGGGAAGTGACATGATCTAATTTAAGTTTAGGTAAAACTTGCTCTCGTTTCTGTGAGAAATCTAACTAGAAGAAGGTAAGATGAGAAACAAAGGCCAGCTAGGAAACTCTGATTCTACTGATAATTCTATGGATAGAAAATTTTGTACGGGATTAAGATCATGGGCTGGGAAGGTGGCTCAGTGGTAGAGTGGTTGCCTTGCATGCATGAGGCCCTTGGTTCGATTCCTCAGCCCCACATAAGCAGAAAAAGCCAGAAGTGGTTCTGTGGCTCAAGTGGTAGAGCTGAAGAGCTGAGGGGCAGCGCCCGGGCCCAGAGTTCAGGTCCCACGACAGACCAAAAAAAAAAAAGGTGAGCACAGAATTAAGATCATATCTCTAAAACAGAATGGATCAGACATCTAAATATGAATAGGAGAAAATCATTATGGCCTTGTTTTATGCAGAGGTCTTAGATTTGGTCATTGCACTTATAAAAGTTGAGAACTTTAGCATTTTAAAGTGTACTACTAAGCATAAGAAGACACACACAGACATGGAGAATATATTTTCATATCTTATGTCTGCTTAAGGCCCTGGGTCTAGAAATAAGAACTCTAGCCAACTCAATAACAGTGCAAAGGGCAAAGTTTTAAAATGGTAGATTTTAATCAAATGGTTAAAAAGTATTAGAAAATGCAAATTGTAACAATGAGGTGGTACTACCTCATGTCCACTAAAATAGCTGTGCTCAAAAAAGCAGAAAATACAGAAAATACCAGTGTGTTAACTATGACATGAAGACCTCACTCATTGCTGATAGGAATGTGCAGCCAATTTGGAAAATAGTTTGTCAGTTTCATAAAAATGGAAAATTAGCTTACCATACAACCTTCTCAAAAGCCAGGGCAATATAACACCTTAGCTTTAAAAAAGAAAAGAAAAAAAGGCTACTCAAGAGGATCCCAGATGGAAAGAAGCCCAGGCAAAATGACAGCAATATTCTGTTGCCACAGAAAAAGCCAGGCATGGTGGTTTATGCCTATAACTCTATCTACACAGCAGGCACAGAGTATGAAGCTAGCCGTGAGGAAAAAAAGACAAGACCCATTTAAAAAAAAAACAACTAAAGCCTTTTTTAAAAGGGCTAGCATATGTTTGATGTATTAAATAGTATCTGTCTAGCAAGTACAAGGGCCTAAGTTTAAATCCTGGTACCACCACACACATATAGAATTTTTTATTATCATTGATAACACATAAAAATATAATCTTAGTGGAGGCATGAAACCAAAGAGATATTTCTAAATATAATTTTCAAGTATTTAAAAACTAATTAGAAAGTAGACAAATACGTATAGTTTACTGAAGACTTTTACTCATTTCTTAATTGTGTGGTTAATTATGTTCTTAATTGCGCTGTGCTATTATTGAGTTGTCTGAGTTTTTTTTTTTTTTTCGGGGGGCGAGGGGGGAGTCCAGTCATGGGGCCTGAGCTCTGGGCTTGGGCGCTGTCCCTCAGCTCTTCAGCTCAAGTCTAGTGCTCTACCACTAGAGCAACAGCGCCACTTCCGGCTTATTTCTTTTTGCTTATGTGGTGCTGAGGAATCTAACCCAGGGCCTCAGACATGCAAGGCAAGCGCTCTACCACTGAGCCACCTTCCCAGCCCCTTGTCTGAGTTTTTTATGCACAGATTACTTAAGCGGATACATGACATGCAAATGTATTTGGTCATCTCTTAACTTTTCATTTCTCTCTTTTTTAGTAGGATTATAAGTTGAACCCAAAGCCTCTCACGTGGTAGAAAAGTGTTCTACCACTGAGTTTCATCCCCAGATCATTTTTTTCTTAGAAGTGTCTTTCTAAAATGCAAATTTTTTGAATTTTTTGAACTCTAGTTAGAGTTGTTATATAAATCCTGTTTTTTATATCACCCTTAGTGAAGGATATGAAGCTTTTTTCTTTTTTAGTATTTAAAGTATATTATCCTGTTGAAGTTAATTTTTATGTTTGATGTGAGATAAGACTGAATTACATGTTTCTGTGTCATTCCCCAACTTACTGCCAGTTGGTTAAAAAGATTACCATTCCTCACTGAATTAGTGTAGCCCTTTTGCTAAAAATCACTTGACCATAATTTTTTAAGAGCATATTTTTGGACTTTTTCTTTAGTGAAAATTCTCAGACAACTGAATCTCATCATCAATTTAGTGAAAGATTGAGTTGAGACTTTCTAAGTTATGTGTTAACATTTCAATATAATGATTAAAAGCAATCTGAACTTAACACTGCTTGATTTTTTTTCTTGATTATTTAGAATGTTTAATAGAACTTGAACCAGTGCTGAGAACATTTGAAGAGATAACTTTTCTTGAAGCTGTTATTCAGCTAAAGAGAACAAAGGTAAATTTCCAATGGAAATGTTAGAAACTAGAACTTTCAACTATTTACTCACGAAGCTTTTAATTGAGTTTAGTTTGCATGTGTACTTACTGCATAATTTTCACAGACATGGGCTATAGCTTTGAGGTGGAAAGGTTTACCAGAAGCTTTGCTTTGCTTTCTCTTTTTAAATTGTTTTTTGTGTTGATTGTTTTAAATTTAATTTATTGTCAAGGTGATGTACAGTTACATAAGTAAGGGAGTCAGTACATTTCTTGTCCGACTTGTTAACCTCTTTCTCATTTTTCTCCCACTTTCCTTTCCCCCTGGATCACTCTCTCCCCCCAAGTTATACAGTTCATTCTAACATAGTCTTGTGAGTATCACTGTTGCATTGGTTTGCTTTCTTACCAGAGGGTTTTCCCTTGCCATACAGATGGCTACTTTCAGATTTAACCTTTCCAGAGCCCTCGAGATTCAGGTATAACTTCAGCCTATCTAATGAAAGCCACCGATATATGGTGCATGTCATGCGTTAACATCACCAAAAGTGGATGTGTATGCATTTTAAGCCTTCACTGACCTCTTTCTAAATGTATTATTGTTATTAGAAGGGTGATGAACAGAGGAGATTACAGTTATATAAGTCACCTAATGAGCACATTTCTTTTTGGACAGTGTTACCCCTTCCTTCATGCACTCTTGGTTAAGTTCTAACACCTACATAAGGGATGTTTGAGTGCTTGTTCTCTTTCTGTTGAATGGACTTGGGTTTTTCTGAGCTATATTGCCAAGTTAAGATGAGAATTTATCATGGAAGTCAAAAATTATATTTATTTATTTATTAGGTATTTTGTTCCAGTTTTTCTTGTTTTTGTTTGTTTTTAAAAAAAATACTTATGTCGCATGGACAACAGTAGCAATAGAAGCTAACATGAATTTCCTAAGACAACTGTTTATTCAGTCTGGCTCTTCTGGATGGAAACAATTGAAGGGACCTGTTATTGCTTTTAAAGGCCAGGTGCTATTCATTCACACCTGTAATCCTAGGTACTCAGGAGGCTGAGATCTGAGGATCACAGTTCAAAGCCAGCGTGGATAGTAAGTCTGTGAGACTCTTATCTTCCCTTAACCACCAAAAGTTGAGCCAGAAATTGAGCTATGGCTCAAATATTAGAGTACTAGCCTTGAGCAAAAAAAAAAACTCAAGGATAACACTCATGCCTTGAGTTCTAGCCCCAGGACCAGCACCATTCTTTAAAAACAAAAAATTATGGTGAAATAAGGATACAGGTTGGCCCATTGTAACAATGAGATATACAAGACACTGTGTTGAAACTATGTTGAAAAAGAACTTTACAGCTTCAGAGCAGGGCCAGGTAGGGAGAAGTTGGGGAGGTAGGGAGGGAAGGGATGGTAGGGGAAAAACAAAGGAGGGGGTAACAATGCTTGATAAGAAGTGTACTCATTACCTTACTCATGTAAGTGTAACCCCTTTTTACGGTATCTTTACAATAAAAAAATATTAAAAATATTTTATTGTCTTTAATTACTTGCACAAAGGAGTTGCCATGCACCAAAGCAGTTTATGAATACAGTGCTTCTTTATCAATGTCACCCCTTTCAACATTCTTATCCAGCCTTCCAACCACCCTTTAACTCACTTTTCCTAATTTTGTAAGATATGTATTGCATCTTTTTCCATTTAACAAAGCAATTTGTGTGTACAATGCATCTTTTTTTCATGCATTTTATCGTTATTATAAAGGTAATATATAGCAGGGGTTACAGTTACAAAAGTCAGAGTACATTTCTTTTTAATAATGTCTCCCCCTTCCCTCACTCTCTCCCATTTTTTCCTTCCCATCCCCACCCACAAGTTTTAAAGTTCATTTTCAACATAGTATCTAGTGAGTACCACATTTGTTTACCCTTTGTCTCACCATTTCTGTGCTCCCCTGGACCCTCCCAAAGAGAGGTAAAAGAACAAATCTGACAAAAAGAAAATAAAACAGCCACAAAGGAAAAAAAAAACTCTTGTTTCCATTTCTTGGAGTTCATTTAAAAAAAAAAAATACTATTTTATATGATCAGATTCACATACCTATTGCACCTTTGTATTCCTCTCCTAAAAATATCCTCATTGTGTGTGAATGTCTAGAGAACTGTATAATTTTTTATGTCCCAGAGTTTGTTTGTTTTTTTTCTGGTCATGGGGCCTGAACTCTGGGACTGGGCACTGTCTCTCAGCTCTTCTACTCAAGGCTAGTGCTCTACCACTTGAGCTACAGTGCCACTTCCAGCTTTTTCTGCATATGTGGTGCTGAGGAATCGAACCCAGGGCTTCATGCATGCAAGGCAAGCACTCTACCACTGAGCCATCTTCCCAGTCCCGTGTCCCAGTGTATTTTTTTATCCATCAATTGTATAGGCACATTCTAACTACCACAAATGAGGGAAAACATGTGACCTTTATTTCTGTTGGGTCTGGCTTACTTTCTCTGTCTTTCCATTTCCTTATAAATAGTACAATATCATTCTTTCTGATAGATGAGTAGAATCTCATTGTGTGTACACTACATTTTCTTGATCCATTTGTCCATTAAGAAAGATCTGGGCTAATTCTATGTCTTGGCTACGGTGAATAGTACTGCAATGAACATGGTTGTGCTGGTAGCTTTAGTGGAGCCTTGTTTGTGTTCTACTGGATAAATGCCCAAGAGTGGTATTGCTGGGATAGCTTTATATTTAGTCTTTTAAGAAATTTCCATACTTCCAGAGTGGTCGAACAAGTTTATATTCCCACCAACAGTGTAATGGAGTTCTCTTTTGGCCACATCCACATCCGCATTTGTTATTGTTAGTTTTCTTGATATTGGCCATTCTAACTTGGGTGCAGTGGAATCTTGATGTTGTTTTGATTTGTATTTCCCTTATGACCAGAGAATACAATGCATCTTGATCTGTACATACCCTTTCAACATTTTCACTCCCACTTCAACCTACTCCTTCCCTTATTTTTCTTAATTTTATGATATATACAATGAATTCTTAACTGCATTCTTCCCTATCCTTTTCTTCATTCTTCTACTCCTCTCCCCTTGGCCCCACCCCACCTCTTGCAAATACCCATTTCCAGTACTTACTTTGTTGTGCTGTGATTTACGCTTTCTAAAGCAAGCACTATTCTTGAGGTCAGACTAAGCATTATGTAGCACTCAATTGCTTTCATTAAACTGCACATAGTATGTTATAAAAACACCAGTTAATCAAACATTTTGGTTATGAACAGTCACATTCTACAATGTCTTTGTTACTGGATGATAGATACTTCTTTGGCCCTTTGTGGGTTTTTTGTTTGTTTGTTTTTCATTTTGGTGTCCTGGCAGAACCTTCAGTTTAATGGGAATGTCATAAAGGAATCAACCACTTAGTCAAACTGAAAATTTGTGGTTATTTTGATAGCATTTCACTGAGTCCCTGAGCTTGGTTTCTGAATAGGGGTAGTTATTTCCAAAGATACCACATTCCACTTAGTAGATACAAACTTCTGAAAGTATTTCCTTTTACCTTATCTTTCTAGTTCCCTTTTTCTCCTCACAACTTTCTCTTTAATTCTCTTCTCTTTCAAAGTGAGATGAATGAGCCTATTGTCTCGATAAAGAGAAAGAACCATTCTCCCTCCTCTTTTGCCTCAAAACAACTTTTAGTTGGTATTTTTAAGTAGAGCATTATTTTCATACCATTTAATGTATTCTATCATGTTCTTATACTATATTTTGGTTTTACTTAAATTGTTGTGTTGTGATTTTTCTATTTAAACATTTTAAATCATTGTATCAATTCTTTTTAAATTCTGCTGTCATATTCTTTCTAGGGAACAATAGCATCTGATTCTTTTGGTGAGATGATTTAGAATACAGAGGTTAATCTCTTACATAACATTTCACCTAGCTAGCTAATGGTGTGGCCCACAGAAGAATACAAATTTATAAGTTGGATGTGGTGATATATGCCTGTAGTCCCAGCAACTCTGATGCAGAGGCAAGAGAATCATGACTTTGAGACCAGCCTAGAGAGTATAGGTAGCATAGTGAAAACTTGCCTCAAAAAAATAGTAAACATGGGACCTATGTTTCTTTGGGCCTGGCTTACTTCACTTAATATAATTTTTCCAAGTATTTCCATTTCCTAACAATGAGATGTAAAGGATACTATGTTGAAAAATGAACTTTACAATTTAGGCAGGGGGATAGGAGGGAGTGTAGTTGTAGAGGTGGGAAGGAAGGGATGATAGGGGAAACAAAGGAGGAAGCAACAATGCTTGATAAGAAATGTACTCATTACCTTGCTCATGTAACTGTAACCCCTCTGTACAGTATTTTCACAAGAAATAACATTTTAAAAAATAGTAAACATTTTCATATAGAAATTTCTAGAAAAAAAATTGCTATTTAGAGTGACTTGCTTTGTTGCATCATCTATGGGGTTTTTTTGTTTGGTTGTTTGGCTTTGGTTTTTTATGTTGGTCGTGGGGCTTGAATTCTGGGCTTGAGCACTGTCCCTCAGCCCTTCAGCTCAAGGAGAGCACTCTACCACTTGAGCCACAGCGCCACTTCAGGTTTTCTAGTGGTTTATTGGAGATAAGAGTCTCACGGACTTTCCTGCCTGGGCTGGCTTTGAACTGTGATCCTCAGATCTCAGCCTCCTGAGTAGCTAGGATTACAGGTGTGTGCCACCGGTGCCAGACCATCTATGGTTTTTATAGTTCTTTCCACTAGCCCTATAACTTGTATTTTTGTAGGTAAATACTTCCGGTATCTTGAAGAGTAAAAACTGCACAATTATTTTCTTTAGTATTCTGTTTTATTTCTTTCTAATTCATAATTTCATGAATAATTTCATAATAATAGATAATTTGAATTACACATGGTAGTTATGAACAGCAATGGTTCATGAAAAGACACTGTTTAGAAGAAATGTTGCAGCAGAGCACAAAGAAGCCTCATGTAGAGGCATACCCAAGAGCAACTTTTAAAAAGACACAGAAAACAATGCATTTACAAATGTTTGTTGAGCTATTGTTTTCTCCATATTTGGCTAGATGCATCATATGATCAGGTGAATCTTTTTTCCGTCATAGCAGATAACTATAACTGGATTCAGAAGTTAGCCATTTTTAAAGTTCTGAAAAGCCACATTACACTGGTGTGGAGAATGAAGCCAACTTAGAGTTCCTTTTTAGTGTGTGTACGTGTATATGATCCTGTAATCCTCTTCACCTTCCAATTTCCACTCCTTTTCCATTTCTCCCTCCTACTAGTCCCTTCCTAGACTGTTCCGTTTTGACATTCATATTCTGTTATCATTACTATCACCATCATCATCATCATAATCACTATCATCATCATTCTGGGTTTATACTCCACAAATGAAAGGATGATATTTGTTTTGTTTTAGTTTGATTTTTCTTTCCCTATCTTTATGATAATCTCCAGATCCATCCATTTTCTTGTAAATGACATAATTTCACTTTTCTGTATGGCTGAGTGTCAGTACACACTGTATTTTACTTATCCATTCATCAATAAGGCTGATTCCACAGTTTGGCTCTTGTGAACAAAGCTGGAATGCAAATATCTTTCTTGTATATTGACTTACAGTCCTTGGGATATGCCAAGAGTCATATGATAAAATCATAAGAAAGGTCAATTTTTATGTTTTTTTGAGGAAATCGCATACTGATTTCTATAGTGGTTTCACTGATTTATGTCACAGCAACAGTTTATTAAGTAGAATTCTTTATCTAATTGTTGCGTGTTTTTATAGTGATTACCATTGTGACTCAAGTGAGGTAGAATTTTAGTGTGATTTTGATTTGCATTTCTTTTATGGCTAATGATATTGAACATACACACACACACACACACATACACACACACATTTGCAATCATGGGCATTGGGCTCAGGGCCTAGGCACTTTCCCTAGGCTTTTTCACTCAAGGCTAGTGCTCTGTCACTTCAAGCCACACTGCCACTTCCAGTTTCTGGGGAGTTAATTGGAGATAAGAATCTCACCAACTTTCCTGCAGAGTCTGGCTTTGAACCATGATCTTTAGTTCTCAGTCTCCTGAGGAGCTAAGATTTACAGGCATGAGCCACAGCGCCCAGCCATTCATTTATTAATTAGCCATTTGTATTTCTTTTTCTGAGAACTATCCAGTTAATTTGGCCATTTGATAATTGGATTATTCGTTTAATTTTTGAGTACTTTGTATATTCTGGATATTAATCCTTTATCCATTGAATAACTGATGAAGATTTTCTCCCATTCTGTGCATTGATTCTTCATTCTGGTAATTGTTTCTTTTGTTGTACAAGGGCAATTTAATTTCATGCATCTCAGTTTGTCCATTCTTACTCTTACTTGCTGAGCTACTAGAGTCGTATTTAGAAAATACAGAATTTTGTTGTTGGTGGTGGTGGTCATGGGGCCTGAACTCTGGGCCTGGGCGCTGTCCCTCAGCTCTTCAGCTCAAGGCTAGTGCTCTACCACTTGAGCCACAGCACCACTTCTGGCTTTTTCTGCTTATGTGGTGCTAAGGAATCAAACCCAGGGTCTCATACATGTAAGGCAAGCACTCTATCACTGAGCCACCTTCCCAGCCCAGAAACTTTCATTATATCAATCTTTAGAACAATTCTGCATATAAGCCTATGTCAATGATGCAGTGCTAACACTGAGATCTATAATTCACTTATGGCAACCCATTAATGTGCAGTTGGATTCAAAATCTGTTTCTCTAAGACATTTCCCTATTCTGCCTTTAAGTTGGGTATTTTTAATTGGTTTAGATTTTGTTTCCATTAATTTAGTACATAAAATACAAGTAATTATAGTTTACTTTGATAATTTTTGAATCATTTCAGCTAAATTGAACATTTATGCTCATTCCAGTTACAGAGTGCTTCAAGTTCATGTGATAAGAAAATGGAGCTGTCTCTGAACATACCTATAAATAATGGTCCACAGGAGGTAAAAAAAAAAATGCATATATATTTGTGTGTTTGTGCGTATATTTAAACCTGAAATGTGAGAAGAATATGAAATATCATTTAGTCTAACTCCTTTCTTTTTTTGTTTTTTTGTCGGTCCTGGGGCTTGAACTCTGGGCCTGGGCACTGTCCCTGCACTCTTCAGCTCAAAGCGAGCACTCTACTGCTTGAGCCACAGTGCCACTTCCACTTTCTAGTGGTTTATTGGAGATAAGAGTCTCACGGACCTTCCTGCCTGGGCTGGCTTTGAACCATAATCCTCAGAGCTCAGCCTCCTGAGTAGCTGGGATTACAGGCATGAGCCATCAGCGCCTGGCTCTAACTCCTTTCTTAAATGATAAACTAAAGCCCAGGGAGCTTTCAGAATGTTTTTAGTACCTGTGACAATGTCTAATGTGAAATGCAGACATTCTGATTCCCATTTTAATATTTATTCCATCAGATCACCTTCTTGCTTCTTTGGCATTGATTTCTGCCTTTGTTATTGTTTTATAAATGAATAATGTATGTAGCAAGTTACTGATTATAACCACAACTGTATGTATGCCACCTTGTCCTTATTTCTTTAGAAGCCAATAAAAGAAAAAAACCATTTTTTATTGCTCACCAAGAACAATTTCTGCAGTAGCATCCATTCAGACATATTTCATAAGCCATATTTTTCAGAGTAGACTTGTTTATAGATACAGAAAAGTAATAATTCCTTCAAAAGAAGCCTAAAGTTTACTACTTGGCTTTCTACTTACTGCATTATCTGATTTGATCTACATTGTCTAATTTGCTCCCAGAGCCCATGCATGCCCAGTACAAAGCTAGGAACCTAAGAACCAGATAGCTAAGATGCTTATTGAAGATCAGTTGTGGCAAAACTGGGAGTAGATTCAAGTTCCCTGCTACTTTCTCCAGCCTTTCCCTTTTCCTTAGGTTGAAAGAACCCAAGAATAGGCACTTACTCTAAAGCAATAAATAAACAGAGTCCAGATTGCAAATTTCCCATCCACTGTTTTTGCCCCTGGACAAAGCCTATGGAATCCTGTAGGCCATATTGAAAAAAACAAAAACATTATTTCTAATATATAAGTAATGCCCTATCTCCCCCATTTGAGCTAATAAGGAAATGAAGTATGTATTAGTTGGTGATTTTATTTGATTTTTCTTTAATTCTCTAATTTTGTAGTAGTTCTGTCTTCATTTGTATTAACCCCAAAGCAAGGAACTATTTAAAAACTGAAGCTATATCAAAGTTAAGAGTTTTTATTAACCTTTAGGAATAAAGCTTCCCTGACTGCTTTGCTGTGTCCTTGTTCACTAGGAATCGTGTGGGTCCTCTACAGTCTACCAAGGTAGTGGCTTTCCTGGAACCTCGAGATCCCTGGCTGCTACACAAGACAAAAGCTTTTTATCTGGTACTTTAATTTTCCAGTCAGTATTGACTTATAAGCTTTATGTTTTCTTTTACGATCACATTATTGGCAACCGGTAATGGTTTGCATGGAACATATCTTTCATTTGCATTCATAACCTTTTTTAAAGTGACAAGATGTGCCTAGGTAAAAATAGCAGTGACATGTTCACTAATGCTCAGCACACTTAGGAGCTGAAGGCATTACACTGGACACAATGGAAGGGAGAAATGAAAAGTGGTCATATTTTAGGAGAGAGAGAGATCTAGTGGTTCAGAAAAAGGGTTTTAGTGTTTGCAATGTACTATTGACAGTCTTACTGAGGGGGAAGTCTGCATTAATCTGGGTAACACAGCTGCTTGGTGGCAACCCTGAGACATGGCTGAGGCCAGGTCTTTACATAAGTATTGTTCATCTCATTCTCCTACATGAGACTGTCATCATGAAGACCTTTTTCCTGGCTGGAATCTGGACCTCTAGTTATGAGCGATAGACACTGCAGGCTAAAGGAGCAACACAGAGGTCCAGAAGCTAGAAAGCAGTGAGTAGTTTGGTTTAGCTGATGGAGAAGATAAAGGAAATAAAATCAGGAGAGTCATACTATAAAGAATTCTGACAGGGCTCAACTTGGTGGCTCATACCTATATTCTCAACTGCCCAGAAGGTAGAGATAAGGTACTTTAAAACAAGCTGAGGCAAAAAGTATGGGAAACCAAACAAGCCAGGCATTGTGGTTCATGCCTGTCATCCCCACCCCTCACGCACACATGGGAGGGAAATAGGTGGGAGTATCACAAACACTGAACTGACTGGGACAATAATCTGGAGGCGCTGTCTAACTAAAGCAAAAAAAAAGCAGGCTCAAGTCATAGAGTGCTTGTACAAGGCCTTAAATACTGAAGAAAACAAAAAGAGGAGAAGGGGATTCTAACAGTCAGCTAGTTGGTTTTTTGTGGGAGTTTTGGGGGTTTGTTTGGGGATTTTTTTTTTTTTTTTTTTTGGTTCTGGTCATGAGGCCTGAACTCTGGGCCTGGGTGCTGTCCCTCAGCTCTTCAGCTCAAGGCTAGCGCTCTACCACTTGAACCACAGCTCCACTTCCGGCTTTTTTTTTCTGCTTATGCATGCAAGGCAAGCCCTCTACCACTGAGCCACCTTCCCACCCCTGTTTGGGGATTTTTGTTTTGTTGTTTTTTGCCAGTCCTGGAGCTTGAACTCTGGACCTGGATACTGTCCCTGAGCTCCTTTTGCTCAAGGTTAGCACTCTACCACTTGACCCACAGCACCACTTCCAGCTTTTTCTGTGATTAACTGAAGATAAGAGTTTCACAGACTGTCCTACCCAAGCTGGCTTTGAACCGTGATCCTCAGATCTCAGCCTCCTGAGTAGCTAAGATTATAGGTGTGAGCCACTGATGCCCGGCTAACTAGTTGTTTTTTAACTTGAGTAAGGAATTACTTAAATTTTGAACAATGATGTAATTTAAGATTTTGCTTATATATTCCTGCCTGAAATATGTAAGATATTATGAATGGAAAAGGAGACCTGAGGAGGGGAGACTGTGTACAAGTCCAGGTAACTGGTCTAGTGAAAAGCATGAGGGTTGTGAGAGAGATTACAGAGGACTGGGTAAATCGAGAGGACTTTATAATTTTTCACTTAAAGGAATTGAGCAAGAAAAGATCCAGCTGAGTAAGTTCTTGAGACTGGTCACTGGGAGCACACTGGTGCCATTAACAAAACTAAGAATTGAGAGATAGAGGGACAAATGGTGAACAAATACAGCGATGGTACTCAGTAGACATTGTATTGAAAATGAACTGTATAACTTGTGGGTGAGGATGGGAGGGAGGAAGGGAGGGAAGAGGTGACATTGTCAAAAAAGAAATGTACTCATTACCTGAGTTATGTAACTGTAATCCCTCTGTATAATAACAGTTAAAAATGGGGAAAAAAAAGAATTGAAACAGATTTCACAGCTAAGCAAGCGATTAAGATCCTGCCCCTCTTTTCTTGTTTTGCTTTATTTTGTTTTTATTTGGGGCACTAGCCCTACCTATAAGAGAGATGTCCAGTGGGCCATTGAGAATGTAATACAATACTCAACGATGACAAAAATGTGATTATATTCAAAGGTAGAGATGAATAATTCAGGCCCTGAGATTGAATAGAGGGAAAAGTGAAGACACATGTCATACAAGATCAAACACACTTAAAAGACTGTGACATACAGAACACCTTTCAAGTGCAGAAGGAAGATGACAAATAAATGTAGGGTTATGGGAAGTGAAATTCTATGATTTATATTTATAGGACAGCCAAGTTCAGACTAGAACATAGTAAAAAAAAATTCAGTATGTACCCTTATTTGTCCTAAAAAGCATTCATTTGCAGAATTAAGTTTCTGAAGCAGTTTTGACAGCAGTGTAAAACTGAAGACCTTGGAGCCTTCCTGCTCTATGACCCAAATATTGACGTTTTTGCTGACAGGAATATGTAGGGAATATTCCACTCCTAACCAGGACATTTTGTTTGGAAGGAGAAGCTGAGGACTGTTCTACCGTGAAGCCACATCACTGCACAGTGCATCGCAGCTGGGACAGCTCCGTTACTGCCTCTCAGAGGGCAACATTCTGTGATCACAAGACCATGCCATGCCCTTCAGCAATAATAAACCCTCTCCTGTCTGTGGGAAGTTCAGGTAAATACTTTGTATATACAACATGCTGTAAATGGTACATTGGCCTCACATTTTCAAGGCCAGTAGAGTCACCATGAAATGGGATTTCTTTACTTGTAGTTTCTTGATATGGTAAACCTATCTCCTTAAGTTGGAAAGCACTGTCAGGCCCAGTGCTGATGAATAATTAAATAGTCACAGATAGTATCCCAAGAACCAGTCAGCAAAAGAAAAGAGATAAGCCTATTTTTTAACAAATACACTGATAGCTTCTACATTTGAAGCAAACAAACAAAAAACAAACCCAAAAGCAAAAACAAAAAAAGCAGTGTTTGCCCCATGTATACATACAGTATACAGAAAGGGAATACTGGAAAGTAAAAGAGACAATGACCCAAACCTCTGAATGTTTCTTGAAAACTAAGGGCATTCTCAAAAGTACTGTTCATATTGTCGTCTTAAAAGAACTAATTGTTAGACTATTACTTTTTTTTTTGTCAGTCATGGGGCTTGAACTCTGGGCCTGGGCTCTATCTACACATTCTACCACTTGAGCCACAGCGCCACTTCCAGTTTTCTGAGTGGTTTATTGGAGATAAGAGTCTCATGGACTTTCCTGCCCTAGCTGGCTTTGAACCATGATCCTCAGATCTCAGCCTCCTGAGTAGCTAGGATTACAGGCATGAATCACTGGCACTCGGCTTAGACTATTACTTTTTCATTCAGATTTTGCAGTCAAGGCTGGTGCTTTACCACTTAAACCACATTTCTACACTTGCAACTTTTTACTGGATAACTGGAGTCTCTGGGATTTGTTTGCTTGGATCAGTTTTGAACTTTGATCCTCAGATCTGTTTCCTGAGTAGCTAGGGTTATAAGCATGAGCCACTGGAGCCCAGCTTTCAGGTTATCTTCTTTTCCATTATTGTGTATCTCCCTCACCTTTCTAATTGTTCATCACTGCTCTACCACAGAGCGCCTACAGCCTGGTATAGCCCAGCAGTGGATCTTGAGCAAACGGGAAGATATTGTGAGCCAAATGACAGAAGCCTGTCTTAACCAATCACTGGATGCCTTACTAGCCAGGGACTTGATCATGAAGGAGGACTATGAACTGATTAGTACCAAACCTACAAGGACATCAAAAGTCAGACAATTACTGGATACTACTGACATCCAAGGAGAAGAAGTTGCCAAAGTTATAGTTCAAAAGTTGAAAGACAACAAACAAATGGGTCTTCAGCCTTACCCAGAAGTACTTGTGGTTTCTAGGTCACCATCTTCAAACTTCCTTCAAAATAAAAGCATATAACTGAGTCTTTTTTGAAGAAGAAACTTTATAGATGGTTATTTATGTCTGTTACCTTCAAAATGTTTTTACAAAAGAATGTGAGTATTAGAAGATTTTCTGAAGTTTTGGGGGAGTTGAGAACAAAGAATCTTCTCCCCTAATATTGCAATATTTTGTTAAATAATGTAAGTAAAAAGTTTGCATTTTGATATATTCTTCAAATTTTCTTGTATCTTTCATTAACTGAGCCTGTTTTCAGTGTAATAATTACATTTTTCTTGTAAGTAACATTGTCTCGAGACATCATGTTTCTGATGGAACGCATTTTCACTCTGTTTCTCTATAGGTTATTTATTAATTGTCTAAATCAATTGAATTTTATGAAGTGTTTACTCTTATTGGCAAGTCAGGGCCAGTTAGGCATTCCTAGTCTACAATTTTCTCTAAAGGATTACTACTTTTTAAACTCCATTATCTAGATTGAATTTCTAACTTTTATTTATAAACTCTTTACAAGGTTGTTTCAAGGAACACGAAGGATATATAAAGAAAAATTAAAATTAACAATGGTTGTCATTCCATTTTTAACTTCAGCCATCTCTTGTCTCTCACCAACAACCAAGCTAACCAAAGACACCAGGGCTTTGAGGACTTTTCTGCGCCATTGTTCCTGATCATATCTGAAGTACATGCTGACTTGATTTGAGAGGTTTTGGAGTGAGTTTAGGTTTTGCTGTTATTGTGGTTTGGTTTAGGTTTAGATTGTTTCCTTATAGGGCTGAAGATTAAATCAAGGGCTTTGTGCAGTTTAGGAAAGTGCTCTGTCACTGAGCTCCATCCGCAGCATAGGTTTTCTCTTTAATTTTTCTGTATTCTTAGAGCCATTGTCTTTTAACCGTTTTAACCCTTCCAGATCTGCTACAAACCCAACTCATCTTTTTGTTTAAGTGTTTCCTCTCCCCCAACTTTTAATTATTTTTCAGGTAAGGTCTTCCATCTAGGCTGGACTGCTAGCCTCCTACCTATGTCTCCTGCCACCAGACTCAGATTGTCTGTTGATAATGGCATCACACTTTTTCCAATGGCTGGCTTTTCACCCATCTTCCTCAATCCTGCCTCCTTAGTACTGAAATTCCAGGGGTAAGCCTCCATGCCCAGCCCTAACTCATTATTTTTCATTCCTACACAATATCCAGGCTAATTTTAATTTTCTCAATTGGTTCATGCCAGTTTTACCCCAAATTGTTATCATTGTTGTTAATGGGTTATATCACTAAATAAATCTATAAGGATTTTCTCCTGAAAGCTGTTTAGCAAATTCGGGGGGGGGGGGGGCGGGGATGTGCATGATAAAAAACTTCTAAGTATAAACTTCCAAGAAGCACCAGATTCATAACCTGAGGGAAAAAAAAGAGAGAGAGAGAAATCAAGAAGAAAAGCTGGGTACAGAGGCTTGAATCTGTAACCGCAGCTACTCAGGAAGCAAATATTCAAGGCAGTTTAGGAGTTCAGCAAAAAGTTAGCAAGATCCCAATCTCAACCATGTGTGTCATGTAACACACACCTGTGATCCCAACTCTGTAGAAAGCATAGGTAAGAGGACCAGCCCCAGGCAAAAAACACAAAACCCTCTCAGAAAAATAAGGGAAGAAAGGACTGATGTATGGCTCAAATGAATAGTAAGAACAAGGCCCTGAATTGAAACTCCAGTGCTACAGTACCTCTAACTGTGCCTCTGAGAAATGCAGCAATTGATAGAGATGATACAGCCATTATATTCAACATACGTATGTGAACATGGAACCAGGTAACTTGAGAGGATAGGTGGGGTTGGAGAGTTGGAGGAGAACCATGGAAGGAGTCACATTGGTCAAGCAAGATGCATTTTACTCATAAACTGATGTGTTGAATTGAAATGCCTTTATGCAGCTATTTAAAAATAATAAACATTATTTTTAATTAGAAAAAAACTAAAAGAATGAGTTATGATCTACTAAAGAAAGTGTAAATGTAAAACTTTAGGTGGGTACCTGAAGCTCACACCTTTAATTCTGCATCCTTGGAAAGCTGAGATCAAAAGATTTGAGTTCCATGCCATCCCAGGGGAAAAAAAAGTACTCAAGAAAGAAGCCAAGGAAGTGGCGCTGTGGCTCAAGTGGAGTGCTAGCCTTGAGCTGAAGAGCTGAGGAACAGCGCCCAGGCCCAGAGTTCAAGCCTCACAACCAACAATAACAAAACAAGCCAAGTACTCCACTAAAGAAGCTGAGCATGGTGGCATGTTCCTGTCACCCCAGCTATAACAGCCTGAAGTAGGAAGATCATATTCTCAGTGCATGTCTGGGCAGGAAGTGAAACCATACCAAAAATAACCAGCGTTTGGCTTAAGTGGTAGAGAAAGCATTAGGCCCTGTGTTCAAACACCAGAATGGAATAAATGAATGAATAAATTAATGGGCTTTTTAAAGCAAAAATAAAGGAGGTTGAGTCATGGCTCTGGGTAGACGGATCTGCAGTGAGTTGCCATCATTCTAGAATTGTTTCCATCTCAGTGGATGGTTTTCATGATGACCCTAGTTCCTGATATGCACATTGGTGGCACATTGTGTTCCATATGACCACTTATAGAACTGTCTGGTATGGAGTACATAGTTCAGTGGAAGGAAAGCTGGCAAAGGATAAAAGATACTTTTAACTTAGGCTTCCCAAAATGTGTACAAGTACAGTAGCAATAACAAATCAACTTGGACACAGAGTCAGCACTAAGTAGCCCTTATATAGTAAGCAAGATTTTTATTTAGTTTTTCCCCTAAATCATCTAAGGAAAGGAGATTATCTTCATTTCATGCTGTCATCTGTGTGTGCATGTGTGTTTATGTATGTAGATGTGTGTGCACACGCTGGTCCTGAGGCTTGGTTTTTACACCCAGGCTGGCATACTACCACCTGAGCCACACCTCTACTCTGGCTTTTTGCTGGTAATTGGAGGTTTCTTTCTAAAGAATTTGCTCCTCTAAATAACCCTTATCTCTGGCCCTGCTATTCCAACGCCTTATCTTATTTTGACTAATATTTGTTAATGTCTAATATTTTAATCCCAGCAACTTCTTTCTTGTATGAGATTCTGTTAACCCCATTTGTCTGACAGCATGAGATAACAATGCTCAGTTTATTGCCCCTAAGATGCCTAGAAGAGGGTGGGAACCCCAAGAGGGTGGCCTCTGCTGCCTCTGCCCTTGTACAGCATGTAGTTGCCCTTCCTGCCCAGAGGACTTAGGAAGCTTGCCAGCTAATTCTGGTCAAAGATGAAGTTAGTCTGAGAAGTGTCATCCCCAGCACCATTCCAGGCACAAATGCGACATGGGCCCTATAAAAGGAAGGACTTCCTCACACAACTAAGCTCTCATCTGTCCAATAAGCCCATCCATGCAAAGGCTATGAACAAAATGTGGCCCAATCGTTCTTGGCCAGAGGGTCTCTGAGTTAGACACAAATTGCCTGCCAGTTTAGAGGCAATCTGCTCAATAATTATGACGCTTGCTCTTCATTAGCAGGAATGGATGAAGTCATTCCCAGTCCTGCCCAACCAAGATGGCATAGAGTCTACACAAGAGTCAGATCTTGCTACTGTAGGGAATAAAAGAGGGATTGGGAAGAAATGACAGGATTAGAGTGACAGGATTGGGGTGAAGAGACCTGGGATGACAGCGCTTGGAGAGGGGCAGAGCCCCAGCCTCACTTTTTCAGGCTTAGGCTTCTGCTGGGTGGAAATGACAGAAAGGCAGGACCACTAGCCCTGCCATATACAGATGGGAAGATTGTAGGCAGGTGACAAGACCCTGCACCTCCCCCTGAATTATGGGTGCAGCCTGCTGCATGTGGGCTAGGGCTGTGTAGAAATCAGTCTTCTGGAATACTAGTACCTGAATTGTTGGCTCCTTGAGTTCTGCCAACAACTCTATTATTCCTTTTTCTGTAGTTTATTCAGAGTGCCTCAGTTTTGTTTGTCCAATATTCTCCACCTTCTTGATGAGTTGTGGGTTTGTTTTATGGCAGAAGTCTAAGGCTTTGGCCAGTCTTTCATATAGATTCTCAAGATTATCAATAAATTCAGAACATGGGCGATTCTCTGTCTTGATTAGATGTGGTCTCAAGGTGTGTTTCAGGCTCTTGATTTTGGCCATGTTTTTTTGGGCCATTGTTAATGCTATGTGATTTTCAACACTGTGAGGGGAAGGAACACTGGAAAGGGAAAGGAGAATTACCTGTTTCTTCCTTACTCTCTAGGTGCTAATGCAGCTTTACATTCTATGTATAATTCTCCATCACAGAATTACAGTGACCTGGTAGACCTAAGAGGCTGCTCTCCAGCCAGTGCTCTAGACCTCCTGTGCTACTGACCGGCACTCTATGTCCTAGAGAGCTTGTGTCCCAGGGATAAGGAGGTAGGTGAGGAACTGGCAGTAAGGACTAGTATATCGCTTACAGTCCTTCCCCTGTCACCTCACAGCTCTGTCCCATGCTTTCTCATTTTGAAAATCACTTGCAGGGTATTTCCCATCTCCAGGCAATACTTTTCATGCAGTCTCCCATTTCCACTTCTTCCAGGGTCCCTGACCCTGGTAGCCAGCCCCCTAATATCCTCCTGGTCCTTTTATTTTTTTTTTTCCAGAGCTGAGAACTGAACTCAGGGCCTCACCCTTGCCAGGCAAATGTTCCTGCGCCAAGCTAACTCCCCAACCTTGTCTCCAAGGTCACTGTTAATTGCTGAGTTCCCATTGATCCTTTCTGCCCTCCATTCTTCAAAACAATGTCCTAACCTGGAGATCCTGCCTGCCTGTATGTCTTCACTGCTTTCCCTTTCCAGCCACCTCCTGCCCACACTTTTTCTTCTCTTCATCTCTAATTGTATTCATTTGGGACTCCTCCTCCTTTCTTTTGGTTAGGTTGGCTAAATTATTTATCTTTTCAAAGAACCAAGGTGTTCTTTCATTGAGTCTTTGTATTGTTCTTTTTGTGTTTGTCTCCACTTTGTTAACTTCTGCCCTGATCTTTCTTTCAGCTTACTTTTATTTGAGATTTTTTTAAGTAGATAAGCCAATAAAATCAATATTCTTTATTCTAGCCATAACAATTAGGTGTTTCTTGACCACACTAGATGTTTACAATACTGGATTAGTCAACACTGTCCTCTCTACTTCTACAAGATGAT